GCTTGTGTTTAGCATATTCCTTAAAAGTGTAACTAAAAATATATTTATTGCCAAAGTATTTCTAGTATACTTTTTTATAAATACATTAAAAGTATGCTTCTGTTTAGCATATTTCTTAGAAGTATACCTAAGCATATATTTAATAGAAAAGTACTTCTAGTATACTTTTTAGAAATATATTAAAATGCAATTCAATATATTTTTATTGCACTTCAAATAAGCATGTTGGGAATACAAATGTATTATAAACATACTACTTGCATTTCAAGTATATTTTTAATACTACGTCTTTTTCACCTGGGTTGCGAGCATGAATTTCCAATATTTCCAATACATTAATTTCCAATACTTTTTTCGGTAGTCACATTCAAAACCCACAGCTCAAAAATCTGAGGAGGTACGTGTTTGAATGGGTGTGATACTTCTGAGCTGGATTTTAGGTCCATGTTTTAGCTGGTTCATGATTCATGCTTGAAGATTATTTGTGCAATAAGCTCAGCATTTGTGGTTTTATGTTCTCCTGCAAAATGTGTGTTGGCAAAGTTCTAAAAGCCAATCGATGAAGTGGGGTGTGTCTGTAGCGCTCCCCAGTGCTGCCCTTGCCCAAGCTGTGCTGCTGTCACTCTCTAGCAGATCTGTGCTGCTCGTTCTTAATTGGAGAGCCAAAAATAAATCAATCCGGCACAAACATCACCTTAGCCAGATGGTCCCCTTTAGTGGGCTAGTGAGCCGGCCACGTCTTTGGCATATGCCCAGCTCTTATTACAACAGATACATCAGTCTTTGGGTACGTGCTTGTGTGTTTAAGCATTAGAGTGCACATGTGTGATTGTAAGAAGTTGGATATTTGCCATTGAGTACTGTTATATCTTTAGAGCTTTACTGACAGCTGTTTAACATCACGAGAAAAGGCAGAGAAAAAGGATGAATGAGTTTATTGTTACTCCTTAGAGTATCTGATCTGAATCTCTACAAATGTTTCTTTATGGAGTCGCTGGTATATTCCCTCATAGTGAGTATAGTTAGTTATAGATCACAGTGTAAAACGGTTAATGCAGAGTCATGAAGGAATAGTGGCTCTCAGCAGTTGCAAAGGTTACACTCAATTCATTAAAGCTTCATAGCGGCAGATGTACAGAGTCTCAACACATATTTAATCTCGGTATTAGTCGTCATTTTTAAATCTTCCCTGTCATGATATGGAATATTATGAAGTATTTTTTTTGCTGCAAAGTTAAAATAAAGGGTCCAACATGAATTAAGCCTCATTAAATCTTAAAAATTAAAATATTATGAACAAAATCACAATGCAGCTTCTATATTGAGTGATATGGTGGATGACCTTCACCAGGTCATATTTTTCTTCAAGGAAAAATAGATAAACTAGATATGTACATTTTCTGAAGAAAATGTGAATGGTGCTTGCCATGACAAAACTCAGTACTGGGCAGTTAGTGGGGTCTTTAGGATTTTTAACAATTCATTAGGATTTTTAGCATTTTTAACACTTACCTAATCGCTATTAGCATGTAGCTATTCAGTGCTAGCATGTGTAGCAGTTGCTTGGTTCCTTCACCATAGTATGTCTATGGGGCAAATTTGGGGGGCTCTTGCACCCCAGGGGTACAGCTCATGACCCATTGCAAGGTATGTTCTCATACAGCTTGCCAGCCTCTTCAAATGTGGTGACCCACATGTTTCTACGAAATTCTCGCTTGGAGCTATGGCCCATCGAAGTTGGTCACAATGTTAAGTCTATGGGATTTTGCAGGACGAGTTACTTTGTCCGGAATCTATAATAATAATAGATAAACAGCATAGTAATAGTGATGCTTTTCTTCTCATTCTAATTTGCACTAATAATTCCATTATCATTTAGACAAACTATTTTTAAAGGGGTCATATGATGTTGCTAAAAAGAACATTATTTTGTGTATTTGGCAGTATGTAGTTTTATGGCCTGTACATGAAATATTTGTAGCCAGTACAATTTTGTATTTTGCCATTGTTAATTGATCACCCTATTCATTATTATTTCCATACCGCTGATAATTTTCCCTGTGGTTGTTGTTGCTTATAGCTTCTGGGCAGACTAAAAAGGAATAATGGATTTGTTGAAAGTGTGACCAATAGTGGTTCAACGGATCACAAATCTCACGGTTCGGATCACATTATGGTTTTTGACCCACGGATCGGATCATTTTTCGGATCAGCAAGAAAATAAAAATATTTCAATTTAACTTGTTTTCAATTTATTACTTAAAGCGAAGTACTTCTTTGATACCACAGCAAATACTACTAGATTAACTAAGAAAGTTTAAACATGATTAAAGACACAAGAGAACAGCCAGCAAAAAGATAAATACAACAGGATATGACAAATACACAAATTACAAGCATAGATAAATACAACAGAATATGTTACAAATAAAATAAGGTTGGTAGTATTCAAATACAGAAATGTAATAATTAGGGAAAATAACACTGCATAGTGTTCACTGTATAAATTAAATATATATATATAGTAATATATAGTAATTTATATATATAAATATATAATTTTTTTATCACAGCTGTTTTGTTGTTTGATCATTAATGACAGCAGCAGTATTTATAGGCCGCTGTCCCTTTAAGACCTGATGCACGGATCCGATATAATGATACACATCACATCCGACTTCTTTCTCAGCTGTTTTCATTTACTTGAGACGAATCGAGTTTCCTTTCGCCTTTTTTCTCTGG